TGTTGCTTCGTGTGCTTCTGCAGTCTGAGCGATGTGCACAGCGTCGTACGCCGCCGGTTTCTTTTACGGGATGTCGGCCTTGAGCTTCTCATGTCCCGCCATACATCCCTTTACCTGGCCTTTGAGTCCAAAATGATGCGGTCCGTCACCGTCTCCCAAGAACGCAGGGGAGAGGAGAAGGAAAGCCAAACCTGGTGTGTTTCCAAAGCCAATGAACCTCATTGGCTTCATGTCATGTCGCACCTCGCGCAGGGAGCGTTTTCTGACCACGTTGATTCGTCAACCGGCTCTCAAGCTTGAAGTCAATGACAAGGTTGGTCAGACGTTCTCCTTGGTGCCTGCCTGTGGCTTGTTTGCCCTCGCTAATCGCTTCGCGGCGTGACCAATGGTGGTAGGGTAACATGATGGTGGCGTGGCAAAATGGCAAGATCAGCAACTTTGACTACCTCATGTACCTCAACTCGCAGTCCGATCGTTCCTTCAACGATTTGGCACAGTACCCGGTCTTCCCCGTGCGTTTTTGAAGGGCCTGCCCACGTTGCCCCTGTTGTGATCTTTTCTCTTTACTCTTTCGGCTGTCCCCCTGCTGATTGCTCATCACCATGCATGTACGCTTGTTGTTGGGGCAGTGGATCCTGGCCGACTACGAGTCGCCTGAACTCGATTTGAACGATCCTCAAACATTTCGCGACCTGAGCAAGCCCATGGGTGCCATGACCGAGAGTCGCCTGCAAGATTACATGAACCGCTATGAGGTGGGTTCTCCGTTTTTGGCAGCTTCACCTTTGCTGGCAATGACCTACCCTGGCCCGCACGACCTGACGATACCTTTGGCTTTTCTCGAATCCGCCACCAATGCTCTACCATGCAGGAAATGCCCGAGCCCAAATATTTTTATGGCACGCACTATTCAACACCCGGCTATGTGCTATTCTTTACCCTCCGCGTGGCCTCCGAGTACAGCCTCAACCTGCAGAATGGCAAGTTTGATCGGGCCGATCGTCTTTTCCGCTCGATACGCGACACCTGGTGGAACGCCACCCACGGCATGGCCGACGTCAAGGAGCTCATCCCCGAATTCTACATGGACGACGTGGCTTTTTTGAGGAACTTGGACAATCTTGATTTTGGCGTGACTCAGCGCGGCGAGCGGGTCCGTAAAAAACGTTGCTTGAATTTTTTTTTTTTTTTTCAGCTTAACACTTCTGTTCAATATCATTCGTCTCACCGCACATTTGTCTGACATGGCGTGCCATAGGTGGATGACGTATTGCTGCCGCCTTGGGCTCACAACGCCGAGGACTTTTTAGCCAAGTGCCGAGCTGCTTTGGAAAGCGATTATGTTTCGGCTCACCTCCATCATTGGATTGATCTGATCTTTGGCTACAAGCAACGTGGTTCAGAAGCGCGCAAGGCATGCAACGTCTTTCACCCCATGACCTACGAGGGCGAAGTTGACCTTGACTCGGTCCAAGACCCCATTGAGCGACAAGCTTACGAGGTACCCCCCCATGCTTTTTTGCCCTCGATTCTCGCAGCCAAGAGCCTTGTGTCGTTTTCGATGGTGTCAAGCCTCGTCTGTGGCCCCCGGATATTCGAACTCAAAGTGCATGCAACATGGCGCGCTCCGCCCAGGTCCAAATTATGGAGTTTGGACAAACACCGCGACAGCTCTTCACCACCCCGCATGGTCAACGCAGGTTTGTTTTCCAGTATCACCGCGCCAATTTTCTTCCCAATGCCTCATCAAGGATTTATGGCACTTCACAATTGGCGGCATGGTTTATGGTATCGCCACCAACTTTGATTGCCGGGTAAAAACCATAGGGTGGGTAGCACGGGTCAAGTCTTGCCGGGAATGACTCTTGCCGCAACTGCATCGCCCAGCCATGCCCCGAGCGCAGTGCCCGACGGTACGCCTTGTTGTTATCCTTTCAATCCTGCAAACTTGATTGGTTTGCGCGGCCTCACTGGCTCAATAATCGTGGAGCAGAACCGTCTGAAGTCATCGAAGCCTCGGAGGTTGAGACTGCACCCGTCACTGCGGTGGATGTTACTTCCACTGGGACCAAACGCGCGCCCGTCAACTGGTGCGCTTTTTCATTTGTTTGTGGCGCTTTGTTTTACTCTTTCCTTACCTGCTTCGGATCGGACAACCTCTGAGACCATGACCTGATTATCCGCACCCTCATTGGATTCTGCCATATTATGCTTTTGTAGGTCCAGCATGGCAGACATGGAATCTTCTGTGCGACTACAGATCCATCGCGATGCCATTACCGCTGTTGTGCTCAGCGCAGATGGCTCGAAGTTGTATTCAGGCACTTCAGTACGTAGCGAGAATACAGTCTACATGGCCACACTGCCCTTGACGCCGCTGGACGTCGATTGAATCACCAGTTCTCAATATGTTTGCCTGTGTGCTCTGTGTGGCGACAGGAGGGCTGCATGCGCATCCACTCACTCTTGGATCAGCAACAATTGCACACAGCCAACATTGGCGTTGCCAAGATCGCGCACATGCTTCTATTTGAGGAGCAGCAGGTAAGATTCACTGTCATTGGTGGCCTTCTTCTGTCTCTGCTTATCAATGACCTTGCGCCCCCCGCCTCTTTTTTTTTTTTTTTTTTTTTTTTTTTTTTTTTTTTTTGTTCTGGTCTGACACGCTCAATCTTGCTGTGCTTAGATGCTTGTGGTCGGGTCCATGGACAACTCGGTCTACTTTTATTCAATCGAACATTACTATGTCTCTACCACTTGGACACGTAGGTGGTGGCTTGCTCCAGGCAAGGTGTGACTCGAGTATGCATCAAATCTCATCATGTGCCTGGATGTTGTGGTGCAGCACACAATGATTCGATCAGCTGTCTGGGCGTTGCAGCTGAGCGCCTCTTCACTTCGTCCTGGGACGGCACGATCAAGGTTGGCTCCTGTGGCACACCTGTTCGTGCGTAAATGGTGCATTGGAACTTACACCTCACTACAATACTCTGCTTCGACAGGCATGGCGATTGCCGACCGATATCACGCAAGATCGTATCGAGGATGACTGCCTTGCTGTCATGGAGGATCATGATACTGAGGTCTGGCATCGGATCAGCTGCTCTCTGGGGCGTTTATGAAATGCATCCTTAGGCTTCGGCCGCGAAGGTGTGGGGGGCGTGCCAATGCTCTCACTGTCACTGCCTGGGGGTCCTCTCAGGTTGCTTGCTTTGACGTACATGAGGGTCGAGATATTCTCGTATCAGCGGGCATGGTACGACGCGCTTTCCATTGTACAAGGCATCTGGGTCGTCTTGGCCACCTGTCACCCTCACCAGCTTTTGCAACTTGCGCGTGGCTTTGCTCTTTAGGATGGTATCATCATTATCTGGGACTTGAATCATTATTCTCCGTTGCAACGTTTTACGGTACACCCTGATGTGGTGAGTATACAAGTCCTGGTCGATCGCCCGGGTTGCATTTGCTTTATGCTTGATGCACTCATATCTTTGCTCGCCAATTGGGTCATGGCAGGAGGTGTCAAGCTTGGCTTTGACGCCGGACGGCAAGCGCGTGGTGACCACTTCGTGGGATGGCTTTCTCAAGGTGGGCGATGCGATTCGCGATTGAGGAAGGATTCGCCTCTTTTCTGCTTCCTGCTTTCAGGTGGACAGCAGATGGAGTGAATGCAACGGTGTTTGACTCGGTGGTCCATTTTCGTGTGGCTACCTCCAACCAGGCCACGGACGTTGACTCGGGCGTTGAACACGCGGTCATTGACATGGGTGAGGAGGAGATCTCGGCCATGGCCACAGATGGTAAGTTGATGCGCCACTCAAAGCCTTGATTTGACAGCTGCCACGGCCAGTATCGCCTCACAGCGACTGATATTGTCCTCAGGCGAGTTGGCCTTGGTGGCCAGTGAACAGGGCATGCTGCGCCTTTACAGCCTAGTGTCTCGAGAGCTCGTTCGCAAATTTCCCCACAGTGGTATGTAAGGGCATGCCAATGGGCGTCTTGCCAATACCTTTGCGTATTAAAGTGTTTCGACTCATTTAACTCACGCTCTTACGGTCCTGTCACAATGGCGCGGCGTTGTTCACCATATAGAACCCGTGGCTTCGCTGGTTGTGTCATTGGATGGACAGCACGTTGTTACAGCTGGTTCTGAAGGATACTACACCCTGTGGAAGGCGTGAGCCCACCAACCTTGCCTCGCTCAATTTATTGGATTCCGGATGCATCCAATCCGTTGTCACATCCTGATTCTGCATGATCTTATGGACGATATCGAGTTGCTGGAGAGGCAACAGCTGCCCCGACACCCACACCAACTCACAGGTGTCATCCACAGCCGAAGACACGGAGATGGTGAAGGCAGGGGGAAAAAACCCCTGCAGCGACACCCACAGCAAGAAGACACATCCACAGAAGGAACCCCTCAAGAAAAAAGAAACAAAATCCGTCTCAAACAAACACACACACACACACACACACACGCACACCACAAAAAAAAGTGCGTGACTCTTTTGTGTGTGTGTGTGTGCTATTTTGTTTGCCAACCTTACGTCTTCCCCAACCACCACCACCGTCCGTCCGTCCGTCCGTCCTCCTGCTTGAGAACGAACCTGTGTGCACCGGAGAGGGGAAGGTTTGAGCACCGTTTGCAAAGGCGTGCGCTTCTTTTGGGAAGCTGGCTTGGTCGGCTTGGGCGTAGCCCGAGTTCGGCGTCACCCTAGCCGAGGGCGAAGCAAACAGCAGGCATGCAACCGAGCAAGTCGACAAGCAACAAGAAGGATGTACTCGAGCAAGCGCGCCGCGCGCGAGAGGAACGGTAGGTGGACACCAGGGGGCCCTGTCATCTATTCACCTAACTCGTTGCCTCACTCTTCTTCTATGCGGAGTGCAAAGACTCGTGCGGGCTGTACCAAAACTACATTGCTTACCCAACTCGTCCTCGTGCGCACCTAGGGCGGCTGCGCGTGAACGACAGGAGCTGGCAGCGCAGCGCGTGGCAGCCGTCGTTATCCTGCAGAAGAACGTGCGGCGATTTTTAGCCTGCCGCCTCGCACGGCGGCAACGACTGACCATCTTCGATCACCTCATAGCTGCCGCCAGTGACGATGCACCTGCGCGGCCTCGAGCCGGTAGTCAACCCAGTGCACTGGAGATCCAGACAGCCGTTCACCACTTCCTGCAGGCGACGCCCGGTAGTACCACAAACGTGGACGCTGGCGCACGCTTGCAGCGCCTCTGCTACACGATACTACAGAGCGCCACGGCTTCGGTACCCCGTTCTTCAAATTACTTCAGCCTCGCCACACAGCGCGGTAGGTGCCGCAGCGCCAGGCCCAGCTGACTCGAACGACTGCGATGCGCACTGACGCCCAGACCATGTGTGGTGCCGCTAGAGACTGCCCCGGCTTGGCTGAGCCAAGTTCAAGCACTCGCACAACTACTCATCGTGGCGTGGGAAGCCAGCATTTCCCGGCGCAAAGAAGATGTAGAGGCAGTCACCCTCTACGTTCAAACCCTGCTCCTGCTTTCCAGCCACACCGCCTGGAAGCTGGAGGCCGGTATGGAACTGATTCACGCACCTATTCTCCCTCAGCCTCAGAGCCCCCCCTTCCGGATGGCTCTTCTTCACTGCTCTTTGCACTTTTACATGAATGGCAGGTGATCCCACAGCGCAGCAGGCCCTCAACGCGGCCTTGAACATCTTTTCTGCCAGTGTGGCCAACAAGATTGCCAGCCACCTCTGTAATGTATACAAGGCAAGCGAGCTGCGTGTGCTTGTTATTTCACTGTCTTTTTGTTTGGCATTTGTCCGTCGCCTGCTCGCATCTGGGGCTCCTTTTTGCCATCGGCAGCTCATGGCAGCATCTGCCTGGGGTTCAGACGTGGATGACGACGCAGGTTGCGGGCACGCGGATGTCGTGCACCCATGCTCAGCTTTCCACGGCCACCTTGTTGGTGCTGCGTGTGATCCATACCACCAATAAGCACGTCCATGCCCTGGTATGTGCAACTGTTTGGCCTTGAACCGTGCCCTCTGGGGAAACCGACTGCCGTGCCCCATTGATTGCTGGTTCTTGGTGCCTCTTTGAAAGCCGGTGCTCTTGGTGCCGGGATGGACTCGCCATGTCCGAGCGTGTGTTCCTCCCGTTTGGCCCCTGGCCGACAAGCAACAATTTGTGGCTCGCATACTGCCGCACCTGAGTCAGGAGGAACACTTCAATTCGCTCATCACCACCTGGTCCGCCAACGATGCCCTGTTCGTTCTGGGCAACCTCGCCGATGGACTTCTCGACGAAGAGGTGCGTTGAAGATGACACGGCTTACTGCGAGCTGCAAGCTATCGCCGAAGCACACTGCCTGTCCCTGCATGCAAACTGCACTTATTTCATATCAACTCATCTGTGCTTTGGAACATGCGAGGGCAGGTTGACGCTCAGGTCCCCCTCGCCGACGTCATGGAGGTGTGCCAGCGTTTGCTGGTGCATTGCGCCAGCTTTGCCAAAAGCGCCCATGGAGCCACCAGCACCGAGCACCCACTCTTGGGCTGGACCAGCTGCCATACGTCGCGCGCGCTGTTGGACTGCATGCCCACCGTCTTACAACAACTGCAGCCTTTGTGGCAACGCCGAGCGATCCGGGCGACCTTTCAAAGCGTGTGGACCGAAACCGACCGTTTAGTGCGCCAAGGCGAGGGTTCAGGCACTTCCAAGCGCTCAGGGGGGTTGCTGCGCTTCTTCACGGGTCGACCCGATCCTAGCCAGTTTGTAACCAGTGCGGCGGCCATGCATGTGCGCCATGCCTCGGAGTTTTATGACATTCTGTGCACCTCCTTGCATGCGGCTCGTGTGGAAATTATCGCCAGCCTGGCGTTTGTCCCCGAACTCGTTCCTCGACTTTGGACCTTTATGGACCACATTGGGCCTAAAGGAGGCATGGCCGTCTTTGTGGATGCGCTACCCGAGCTGGAGAAAGAGCCGCTCTTGCCCATACTCTCCTTGACCACGATGCTGACCTCGCACCTGCTGTTGGTGCTTGATGATCTCGAGATCTTTGAGCAAGAAGACCCCTTCCGGCCCGACCAGTTGTTGAAAATTGCTCGATGCCTGCACGTCTTTGTGTTCCGGGCATTGTGGGAAGCCCCAGACCCACAGGCACCAGCGTCAGCGACCGGCAGTTCGTCGAGCACGTCAACGGCAGTCAAAAGTCCGGACAATGTGCCGCGCACGAATCGGGCTGCACGCCAGCAACAGGCCTTGCTGCGACAACGCCGGGAGCTGCGGGATGCAACCTCAGCACTCCTGCGTCGCATATGCGACATTGATTCGCGGCGCCCTTTTATCCCGCTCGACCATTGGAAGATTCGTGGCGTCCCATCGGCGACCATCGTCAAGCGTTTGCACGCCGAACGATCGGCCCACCCTGCACCGGCTTACCGGCCGGCGTCCAACGTGCTCGCGCATCTACCACACATTTTGGGCTTTCACGAGCGCGTGCAACTATTTCGAGAACTCTGCAACGAGGACAAGGCCACCACCATTCGCGCACTAGGCAATTACCGTCACCCTTTTTTCCGGGTGCGCCGTACAGCCGTGCTGTCGGATGGTTTCGCACAAATCATGTCCGTACCGTCTCGAGTTCTCAAGGACGCCGTCCGGATCCAGTTTATCAACGAACTAGGCATGGAGGAAGCCGGCATCGATCAAGAGGGCCTATTCAAGGTTGGTTCGATGATAAACGCACGTGTATGTCAAAGGATGGTTTTTGTTGGTTACTGATTTGCCTGGACGTCATTTGCCGCTGGTCTCCTGGTTGTTTAACAGGAATTCTTGGAGCAGACGCTGAAGGAAGGGTTCAACCCAGACTATGGGCTATTTTGCTTGACGGCCGACAATAAACTTTACCCCAGCAGTACCAGCGAGGTACATCAGGAGCACCTTCGCCTCTTTGAATACCTGGGGCGGATGCTGGGCAAGATGTTGTATGAAGGCATTGTGGTGGATATTCCGCTGGCTCATTTTTTCCTAAATGCGCTGCTGGCTCGACCCAACACGCTGGATGAGTTGTCAACGCTGGACGCCGACTTGGCACGCAATCTCCACATGGTCAAGACGTATGACGGCGATGTGGAAGACCTTGGGCTGGTGTTTGCTGTAGATGAGGAGGTGTTGGGTGAGCGGCACACGGTGCCGCTGCGGCCCGGCGGTTCCGCCGTGGACGTGACCAACGAGAATCGCGTGCTGTATGTGCACTTGATGGCCGACTACAAACTCAATCAGCAGCTGCGGCGTCAGGTGCAGGCGTGCCGGCACGGTTTCAACGAGTTTGTGCATGGATCTTGGCTCTCCTTCTTCAATGCGCCAGAGCTGCAGCGACTGGTGTCGGGCGACGACGTGCCACTGGACGTGAATGACTTGCGACACCATGCCAACTACGAAGCCGGCTTTCATTCGTCACATCGCGTCATCAAGTGGCTGTTTGAGGTTGTGGAGAAGGATTTATCGCGAGAAGAGCAGGAGCAGTTTCTGCGCTTTGTCACGAGTTGCTCCAAGCCACCAGTCTTGGGATTTGCCGCTCTTCAACCGCGCTTCACGGTACGGGCCCTGGGTGAGGGTCAGGCCGAAGACCAGTACACATTGGGCACTGTTGTTCGCAACTTTTTCACCTCGGGCACGGATACGACACGCTTACCGACGTCTTCGACCTGCTTTAACACGCTCAAGTATGGTGTCGCCGCTGGTTGGGACGAAAGGAATGGGCATGACACGGTGGTTTCTGTATCCGTGGGGTCAAGTCCCCTTTGATGTGACGGCGTGATCTGGCATTGCTGACGCAAACGGTCTGGTGTCGTTTAGGTTGCCCATGTACAAGAGCAAGCGCGTCTTGCGAGAAAAACTGAAAGCAGCCATTTCCTCCTCGTCTGGCTTTGAGCTCGCTTAGCCGTCCTCCTGCCATCCTACTCTGTTGCCTCTCATGATGCGCCTCTTTGCCACTTTACGTGCTCTCCCGACCATCTACTTTGGAAGCCACGAACCCACATGACTCTGACCGAATGAATGCTATCACAGACTCCTGTACCCCTCACAAATTGATCCTCTAAAGAAGAACAAGATGAAAACCACAGAGAGAGAGAGAG